TATAGGGTCAGAAGAGATTAAACTTTCACTCTTCGCAGATGATATGATTCTATATCTGGAAGATACCAAGGATTCTACTACTAAACTCTTAGAAGTAATCAAGGAATACAGGAGCGTCTCAGGTTACAAAATCAACACTCATTAATCAGTAGCCTTTATATACACCAATAGCAGCCAAGCTGAAAAAACAGTCAAGGACTCTATCCCGTTCACAGTGGTGCCAAAGAAGATGAAATATTTGGGAGTTTACCTAACAAAGGACGCAAAAGACCTCTATAAAGAGAACTATGAAAGTCTAAGAAAAGAAATAGCTGACAATGTTAACAAATGGAAAAACATACGATGCTCATGGCTGGGAAGAATCAACATTGTTAAAATGTCAATACTACCAAAAGCATTATATAATTTTAATGCAATCCCCATTAAAGCTCCAGTGTCATATGTTAAAGATCTAGAAAAAATAATACTTCATTTTATATGGAATCAGAAAAAAACTCGAATAGCAAAGACATTACTCAGGAACAAAAACAAAGTAGGAGGAATTATGTTACCAGACCTCAGACTATACTATAAATCGATAGTGATCAAAATAACATGGTACTAGCACAAAAACAGAGAGGTAGACGTATGGAACAGAATAAAGAGCCAAGAGATGAATCCAGCCACTTACCGTTATCTGATCTTTGACAAGCCAATTAAAGATATTGAGTGGGGAAAAGATTCCCTATTTAACAAATGGTGCTGGATGGTGACCTGTAGAAGACTGAAATTAGACCCACAGCTTTCACCGTTAACTAAGATAGACTCTCACTGGATTAAAGATTTAAACTTAAGACATGAAACTATGAAAATACTGGAAGAAAGTGTAGGGAAAACACTTGAAGAAATAGGCTTGGGTGAAAATTTTATGAGGAGGACCCCTCAGGCAATTGAAGCAATGTCAAAAATACACTATTGGGACCGGATCAAACTAAAAAGTTTCTGCACAGCCAAGAACACAGTAAATAAAATGGGTAGACAGCCCTCAGAATGGGAGAAGATATTTGCTCGTTATGTCTCTGACAAATGTTTAATAAGCAGAATCCACAGAGAACTCAAACGTATTAGCAAGAAAAAAACAAG